AATTTACAGTTACAGAACCCTATTCACAACTTCATATCATTTTTTTTTAAAATTTCTTTTTTTTTTTTTTTTTTAAAATGAGCAAAAAATGTTTTATTTAAAATAAGTCACGGATACAAATGCATGTTAGTGCTTACTGCGTCCAGAACCGTAACTGCTGTCACGACGTGGGCCTCTGGCATGCTCAACGATCACTCTCTCCCCACAAAGATCTTTACCGTTTAGCTCATAAACGGCATCATCTGCATCTCGCAGATCATCAAACTCAACAAAGCCGTACCTAGAGAGAGGGAGAGAAAAAAGAATCACCGGGAAAGAACTGAACCCGAGGTATCTGGGCTCAAAACCCACTCGCAGCCCACGGCGGGGTTCTGCAGAGCCCGAGGAGCGTGCTTCTCCGCTGCTGTCCTTCAGACGGCCATCGGCTGCAACTGCCCGAAGGCTACCGGAGCCTTCAAGGCCACGAGCGCTACCCCACAAACCCACGAAATGTGGTGCTATCCTGCTTTAGTCAATACATTTGCTCAACGGCAGTGAGGCTGGAATGGCATTTGACAGATATGCCAGAATAGATGTTCCATGGATTAGGATTTGTCCTGATTTTTGAAGAGCCCTGGGTTCATTCCTGGTTCGATTAGGAAGCTACCTCAATTCCTACACTTCAAATGGAAACATTCGTTCATCTCTGTAGACACAAGTGGTCTGTGCAGCCTGCATGAAAGGTCCGACAAGAAATAAAACACAAAGGCAGGTTAGGAAAAGGGATTTTTTTTTTTTTTTTCTTCAGTCAGCTCATTTTACTCTTGACTGTGGACAGTACCGATGGGCTGGGTAAGAAAACGTGCTCGTGCAACAGGACAGATCTTCCACCTGCTGAGATACTTGCAGCTTCCCAGGTACTGCTGAGAAAGTGTTTTCTGCCTGCTGTATTTCCAATATCCGAGCATTTAAGAGAGCATGGCGAGTCCAAACCTTTTTAAGGGACGTGAGAAAATGCAGCAACAGCAACCAGGAACAAATTTCCCAGGCAAACGAAGAGTCCAGCTGCGGCCAAGAGGCCTTGCAAGGGCAGCACAGGGTGCAGGGCCAGAGAGGAGCAGACCAAGTTTTCTCTTTGAAAACATCTGCTGTGCTAGCCTTGCTCAAGACTTGGAAGTCATGGGCAGATCAAGCGCAAGAGGAAGGATACCAATTGAAAAAAAAAAAACAAAAAAACTCATTTTACTCTTGACTGTGGACAGTACCGATGGGCTGGGTAAGAAAACGTGCTCGTGCAACAGGACAGATCTTCCACCTGCTGAGATACTTGCAGCTTCCCAGGTACTGCTGAGAAAGTGTTTTCTGCCTGCTGTATTTCCAATATCCGAGCATTTAAGAGAGCATGGCGAGTCCAAACCTTTTTAAGGGACGTGAGAAAATGCAGCAACAGCAACCAGGAACAAATTTCCCAGGCAAACGAAGAGTCCAGCTGCGGCCAAGAGGCCTTGCAAGGGCAGCACAGGGTGCAGGGCCAGAGAGGAGCAGACCAAGTTTTCTCTTTGAAAACATCTGCTGTGCTAGCCTTGCTCAAGACTTGGAAGTCATGGGCAGATCAAGCGCAAGAGGAAGGATACCAATTGAAAAAAAAAAAACAAAAAAAATGCTTAATTTCGACATTCAAATGAACTCTGTGGCATGGGTTTCCTATTACCAAAGATGAACACGATACAGAGACAAAAGCTTGCAGACCGCTGCTGGCCTGAGAAGTCAAAGCCAGCGTTTAATCTTTGGGGTGTCACAGACATCAGTGCCAACGTCAGGCTGCTGCAAGCGCCTAATCCCTGTGGGCCCGAGGTCCCAAAAGACCGAGCGTAGGGTTTTAAAATAATTTCTTACAGCTGGTGCTCAGGGACAAGCCGGTGGCTTGCTTACGGCTGGCGAAAAAACTCACAGCGGCACTGAAGGAAAAATCGAGGCTGCCAAATCCTAACCTTACGGCTGCAGAACAAACTCACAGCGGCACTGAAGCAAAACTCGAGCCTGCCAATTCCTAACCTGACAAGAGTTAAACACCTATTTAAAAGCCAACATTGTGCAGATGCCCATTATCCCGACGGGTCAGGGGAAAGAGGACAAAAAGCATCAGAGCGCTGTTTATCGGAATTCAGAGGCTACCTGCCGTTGAAGTCACTTCTCCCTCAGGCAGCTGCCAAGACCAGCTCCAGGCTCCAGCGTCCCGCAGGCAACGGCCGAGGACGCTGCAGCCCCGCGCGCAGCGGCAGCCTCCCTTCGGCTACAACCTCCGGCCGCTGTAGGCAAAGACACAATCCTGAACTCAGGCCTTCGCAAGCCCCAGGGGGAAATATTTGTGAGTGCTGGTGTTTTAAATAATCCAGAAGAACAACCCCCCGATACAAAAATGCTGGCCTCCTCTTTTAGGTCACTTTTTTTAAGCCTTCTCACTACCTCCCCCAACCATGGCTACCGCTTTGCAGTGTAATGGTGCCTGTATTAACAAAATACTTCAGAATGACTCCAAACACCACAACTAAGGTGGCTGCTTTCGCATGCAAGTGCTGTAGTTCCATGGAAGAAACAAGCGTGATTGATTTATAACAATTGAAACAACCACAGTCATTATAAAACCATTCAAATTGCAACCTCCTTCCCTTCAATTCCAGAAATAGAGCAAGCGAGCTCAAACGTTTAAACGAGATCGCACCCTAAAAGCAATTACTTACAAGGTGAAGTGCCTGGTACGCACCAGCACTTTCGAGACAATAAATGCACAGAGATTTGAAGCTGGAATAACAGAGGAATATCTGGATTCGATCCGAGCCCAGTATTGAACTTGTTCTTCCCAGAAGTGCACCCAGGAGTTGCCGGGGGGCCCCGGCCACCTGTCTCGCACCCCAGACGAGGCACAGCACCTCCAGCGAGTCCCTCTCCTACAAACCTTGAGATTTCTTGCGTTTGAAGAATACTAAACATCATAGCCCACATCACTCCTAAATGAAAGTAATACTGGTCCACCTGTTAAATATGTATAACATCATTGCACCGTATGAGCTAAAAACAGGAATCACAAACCTTCAGAAGCAGTTTTACACCACAGAAAGCCACAACTGCTGACACAGCCTTAACTACAGCAATCCGAACCTGCTGTGATACGACAGCAGCGCAAGTAATCTTCTTTTAAATGTCTACTATTACTACTTCATATGTGGCATAAAACTACTTACTAAAAATGTCAATGCAATTTACTTCAGCTGATGTGAAGCAACACCATTTTCTGTTCATGACTCAAAAAAGGAAAAAGCTGCAGGAGTATGTCCTTAGCCCAAGCAATTCCAATAACCTGAACCTCCGAAAAGGCGAGGTTTTTTGTTTTTTAAACCCAAAGTGAAAGGACAAAAAAGCCCACCAGCACGAAGCCCACCTCTATGGCATTCCCCAGGTGCCAATTTTCCCCCTCTACTCATCGATGGCTGGTGCGGGAGCCCAAAAGCACGAGCCCCGTGCGCCGAGAAGGACCTGAAAGCTGCTGGCTCTGCCCTTTGCCAACGCAGGCTAGAAATCCGTGAGGCTTAGATGGGCGGCAATCCGTCTCAGCCCGGCCCGCGGCTGCGGGGTCGATTCAGCCGCTGCTTTGCAGGTTCCCAACGGAGACCTGCTGAAATCTTGAACTCTCGCCCGCTCTCAACAAATCGAGTTGATGGTTTGGCAGCTTTCTGAATTTCACATTACGCAATTGCTTCCTATGGACAGATACCTTCAAAACGAGCTCATTGCACCTCATCGCTCCTCCGTCGTCTCTGGAGGAGCGAGGTTGGGGCAAGCAGGCGTCGATGAGCAGCCGCAGAGGAGGAAACACATGAAAAACTGATTCCTGGCTTCTGCTTCGTTTGGAATAAAGATGCAATGTGTCCGGCTCTAGAAAACGCTCCTGAAAGTTAACTTGTAGATGGCTCGCGATCCATTTGGGCTGCTCGCCCGCGCCGTAGCCAGGCAGAGGCACGGCAGAGACGCAGGCGGCACGCTGCCTGCCAGTCCTCCCGCGCCGAGGAGGCCGCGGCCAGGAGCAGGGCTTTATCAAGGAAAAGCATCCTCAGGCCGCTTGAAACAAAATCACTCATTTAAATGAGTCACTGACGTTACAACCTCAACAAATATTTGAATTTCAATACTTAAACTCTTTAAATTTAAGATTTAGTGGTGATTCTTTGAAGTTTCCGCACTAATGACAAACATCGCTGAGCATTTCTGGTCTTCTAGCACAACTGAACACCTTAAAGCAAAAAAAAAATTAAAATCTCACCTTATTCAGCCTAATGTTAGCAAAGGAAAAAAAAAAAAATCCACAAATCCACTGGACTTAAAAACCAATTCATGAGCAGGTCACCTTGCCATCATCTAGGTGTACTGGGTATCGGTATGTTGTGACACCAATTTGGTTATTTTTTTAATACCGATTGCTCTAATTAAAGTTAATGGGCATTAAATATTTTGGTGGGGATGGCGCAGGGAAATCAAATTGCTTCTCTTTGGGCAACAAATACAGACTTTGAACCTGGCTAGATGAAAGAACTGAAGTTTGAAGCTTTTAGTTTTGATCTGTGTTCTTCAATCCGTTACAGTCCCCTGTCATGCAGATGAAGCCATGAATTCTCGAAAGCTGGTCAGGGTGATGCAGGGCAGGTAAGCACACAGGTAGAACTATTTTTTAAGCTAGCGAGACTGCAAATTGTTTTCCTCATCAATGAAAGCTTGCAGCTCTTAGAGTTATTACAGCTAGCTTTTAGCATGTTTTTAGAAGATAAAAGAGCAGCTGAAAAGTCCAATTTTTTTGGTCGTGCAATATATATGCTACTGCCACGCACAGCTCTGGTTGTCAATGCAGTTCTGAGTAGGAAAAAAAGAATATAAAAACTACGGGCGTAGAAATTGCAACTTGGAACGGAGAATCCTACAGAAACTGGATTTTTATTTTCCCATCCTTCTCTCAGGTAAACATTGCTTTCAGCCTTTGAATCGCAAGCTTAAATTACAATTAGCAGCAAGCAAGGCCCAGCTAAGCTTTTAGGACTCCGCTGTATCACATTGCGGTTTCATCCTCTTGCTCAAGCATTTCAGCTTAACTGCTAAAATACCGAACGGCTAATCTCCTCCTGGCTGAGCACCGAAAATAGCCCACAAATTTCCAGAAGAAACTGAAAGAATCTCTCAAGTCTAACACTGTGCGGTAATTTTTAACCGTTTGCTAAGCACTACTAAAAATAAGTTGTGGAGAAAGGATCAGGAGGCGAACAAAGCAAACTGCAGAGCACCCGGCAAAAGTGCAGCACAAGGCTGTCCCAAGTAAGAGACACAAAATCTGATAGTTCAAGTACGTTTTTTGTCAAACTGGAATTTAACTACAAACCAAGAGCAGCCTGTTGAAAGAACTTCAGAATATACAACTAAAAGAGGAATTAAAGGGTTGAGTTAATCCCAGAAATACAGACTGAGCTCTATCGAAGCCACAGCTGAAGCAATCCGCTACAGAAGCGGCAAACAGCAAGGGGAATGACAACTCAGTTACATTATCTGAAGTTTCCCGTGTTCTTTCCGTTATCTGCAACTTTTGAACTCTGTCTCCCCCAAGCGAGGTGACAAAAATGACTTTAGCTCTGGAACAAAGCGTATCCCATTCAGAGCACCCAAATTTTAGGTCCAGGCAAGCTGAGCCCTCTCCCCCTCTGTACCTGTTACCGTTCGTACTTAAGATGCCACAAGTTTGGGCCACTCAACAGCACCCGTAAGTCGACTCCTGCACCCACACCACCGCCCCGCAGACGATTTCTAAACGCCGAGCTGGGATTGTGGGGCTGGTCCTTGGTAGATGTTTTTCAATAAAGCAAGAGGACAAGTCCATTAGCCATGTAACTTGGGGAGTTCCACATCTGCCAAGAAAGTTTGGGTTTTTTTCCGACATCTGTCTATGGAACAGAAATATTTAGTTTGGAAGCTTTAAACATCAACAGGAAAACTGACCCCCCCCCAAAAACCCCCACTTTTGAGGACACACAGTGGGACTGGAAAACAGAGCGCTCAAGTATTTCAGGCATGGGCAACCTTCAACGTCACCTGAAGCTGCGTTGGGGAAAACACTGACACGTGCATGCTTGTTTGTTTTAATAGTGGCTTTTATTCATCTTATAAAGCTGTTATATGTCCACCTACCAGTACAACCAGTGTTTAAACTTAATGAGGCTTTTTTTTTAATGCTCAGGGATTAACTTTTACAAGAGATTCCTCATCTCAACCTCTAAAGCAAAAATAATAATTGGCTCTCCTGGCTGATAACGATAAAATCCATATTCCACTCAGTCTTCCGAAGCAAGACTTCAAGTTGGGTTTCTTGGAAAAAGTAAAGACGCCAACACTCATGCGGCTGGCGGCTTTAAGTGTTGGGGAGAAAAAAAAACAACACCAAAAATAGCAATTTGTTTTCTCTTGAAAAATCCAGACTTGAACGTCTTGGGGAAGTCCTGGTGGAGCAGGATGCAAACCCTCTAGGTGCTGCGCGGAGCTGGAACAGCACCCAGGTACGAACACGCAGGGTAGGTCAGGGCTTCAGGGGGGCTCGGGGGGGGGCAGGACACCCCCACCGGCTGATGCCGCCCCGGGGTGCTGCGAACAGAGCTCTGGTGCTGCGAGGGTGGCTGCGAAGGGGGGCTGTGCCCCCCACAGCCGGGTTTTGGGGAGCGGGATGCCCCGGCCCACCCTTGGGTGCTCAGCCTGGGGCACGGAGGGGCCTGGGGGCGCAGGGGAAGCCCTCAGGGACACCCCCCCCCCGAGGGGTGCAGGACACAGGGGACCCCCCCATAACCCCCCCCCCCCCCCCCCCCCCCCC